TTATGTGGATAACCCATTGAAGAAAAGGATTGGTTATTTGCTGGACAAGTTCAACGATCATGCCCTGCTTGCAAACAAATACTACAGTGGTTCTGTTTACGCCCTTCTCTCGGAAAATCCATTTCATTTCGAATGTGCGAGGTCTTTGGACGTCCTCTAGCTCCTCGACGCAGCGACCTATCAGAGCATAATGTAGGGCCATTGGTAGCATCCCAATAATCTTGGTGGTGTAGAGGATGAAGATCAGGTGTCCAACTGGATTCAAGTGCATGGATGATATATACTGGATCGATTAAATTCTAAGAACTAACATGGAAATGCGAGCATGCGGCCATAACATGAAAACAAGGCATTTTATAAATTATAAATTTTTCACAACTGCATGTCCGATCATCAATACAAACAGCATGTGTATTATCATTACTACTGACCACCTCCTCAACTTCTCGTCGCATGTGAAATGGTGTAACAGTACACATTCCTGCTTTTACCTGGTTGGGTCGCATAAATTCGATTGCTTCAGGTGAGTACTCCAAACCATCCTCTATGCACCGTTGTACATGTTCATGGCATTCACAAAAGTATTTTGCGAGCCAATAAAATATAAATTTAACACATATAGTGATGGGAAGCATCCTAACACCTTTCAATGCACCATTGAACACCTCAGAAACATTAATTGTGGTTGTTTCGTATCGCCGACCACCATCATAGGCAAGTGTCCACTGTTGTGCTGGAATATCAGCTAACCACTTTTATGCTTCAGGATTTATACTTTTAATTTCTTTCATTATCAAATTAAACTTGCGAATCTGATGTGATGTCCCAGACTTCCACACTTGATCTTTCAAATACGTGTTATTGTAACGTGTGTTGAAATTGCTTTGTACATGTCTTAGACAAAAACGATGATAGGTGTATGGCTCATTCCACCCAGAACCTTGTTTCTTAACCGCTGAAATTATACCTTTATGTCGATCTGAGATTAAGCATATACCAATTCTATTCAGCACAACAGAGTGGCGTAGATGATATATGAACCAACCCCAGCTTTCACTAGTCTCCTCATGAACAAAGGCAAATGCTAGAGGGAAAATCTGCTTCTAAGCGTCAATCCCAATAGCAATAAGAAGCTTATGCTTGTACTTGCCATTTATAAATGTGCCATCAATGCTGATTACAAGTCGACAATGAACAAACTCATCAATAGACACTTTGAATGGCCAGAACACCTTTCCAAATATATCGAATTCGGGAGCACGAGCCTCATATTGCCACTTTACAATCGTTCCAGGGTTGTATTTCACAAGAGCACCCGTAAACCTCGACAACATGTTGTAAGAACAATCCCAGTCACCGAAAACCTTGGCTATAGCCTTATTCTTCGCATTCTACGCCTTCTTGTACGTTATCAAATAATGATACTCTTTTTTCACCATTTCAACGATGACAGGCATTGTTACATCAGGTGTATCCCGAACCACACCCTCAATCCATTGAGAAATAAAACCTGCATCAAGTTGACAGTGGTCCTGGTTTAACCTTAGGTATAAACAAGTGTGAGGTGCCTGATATTTTGTGATCTCAAACATTCCATGTTTCGCCTTCAACACCACCCATAGCCTCCATTTGCATCCACATTGTGCATACATCTTGCACCTCAACACCCAACGCGTTTTATTTGTATCAACAACAACATATTATTGGTGCATCTTAATTGAATACAATTTAACTATCATCTCTAGGTCTTTTTTACTCCTGAACACCATAGCCTTAGCCAATTCTGGTCTTGTAGGATCTCATGTTTTAATTTCATGCAAAATGCACAAACTGTTAACTTCATTCTGGTTTCCCGATTCAACATTTGAGAAAAAATGTTGACTCCGGCTCATGCATAGGAACCTCACCATCATCCTCAGCAGAATTACCTTCAGCATCATAATCATCATCATCAGAGTCATCACTCAATACATTTTCTGGCAACTCTTCTTCTTCGTAGTAATCATTCTGGTCATTAGCACACAATCCTTCATATATATTTTTAGCAATCTGATGCAGTACAAGTGCTTGGACAGGGTCCACTGGCGCTAGTGTTGGGGTAACTATAATCATTTTCATCTCCTCGTTCCCCAGTCCAACACTATACTCTTGCTGAGATGAGCTTTCGGAAAAAGTACTAGGCCATGTTTCAGCCTGTGCATGTGTATATCGATTGTATTCTTCCATACACTGCATTGTTAAAGGGGTGTAATAATTACCCACCATGGCTGAAGGGTCGAGCATTGGGATATATGGTTGTTGGCTGAGCATGGAAGTGTATGAACCAACATCAGGCCAACCTTCATTACTTTCACCAATGTCATCTGCCCTAACCTCTTCGCTAACATACAAATCAACTTTGTTAACACCTTAATTGTCAAATACAACATCCACCATTGCCTCCACACCATCGTTGTCAACAACTTCTACTGGAATATATGTAAACAAGTTAGTTCTCAATGCAGTAGGAAACCTACAAATAAGTTTAAGGTTGTATTTATTCCTATCTATCCCCGTCACATCATGCAACCTATCCACCAATGCCGAGTATGTTGTGTCATGTGAAACCTTTATCACACGCTTATAACCATTATCATATCGTAACACATCATGGTTCTTGAATATGCTACCACCCCAATAAATCATAACAGAAGCACGTCTTCCAGTCATTCTTAACAATTTTACAATAAATACATCAAAAATTAGTGTGTATAAACAACCAAAACTTTTGCTTTCATCGAAACTTTTGCTTGTTCATGTTTTGAAATGTAAATAAATCGGGTAGCCAGTTCTAATTTTCAATCGCCCAATATTAATGAAGGAGCACATTAAGTACATAAAATGATTGACACTTACATCAGGAAAGTAATCTATTAAAACTGCTAAAATATTTTGAAAACTTTACAAAATAAACTCGCCAATTCTAATAGAAACTTTTGTGTCCCTCCTAAATTAAGTTCGATATGCTCCAGTCAATTAATACCTTAATTATTAGGACTCCAACACTGTGCAAAATAGACTACACTCATTCATTCAATCGTGACTGATTTGGGCGGAAGAGATGGAAAAGTATAGGAAAAAAAAATGAAAAAGTATAGAAAAAAAATCTGAAATTAGAGCACTAGAGTGACTAACTTTTACAGAGAATGCAAAAAATTTGAATTTGAGACCTTTGAATTACCAAAAGTCAAAATAAATACATCAAATAACTCCTAACAATTTTCCCATATGGGATTATACATTGAAATATTGTATACAAGTTAAACTAAATACCGAAGAGAGAGAGAGAGAGAGAGTAATTTGTTTGAAATAAATCATTAAGAACTGACTTAAACAAAATCTAGACTCACAATGGTATTATTGATTTTACTTTTTCTTATGGGCCTACCGCACTTGGAATGACGATTTCAAAAGATAATTTTTTGTGTGCGATTGTATTTTGATTTCCTTGTTGAACATAAACACAATCACACCCCTTTGACTTATCACTTCTCTCAAAAATTTCTTCTATTAATAAAAAAAAAAATTACAAAAATGATATTGTCACTGACATTGTATAACTATCCCACAACAACTTTGACATCATGTCTATTGCATTTCACACGTACAAAATAATAGCTTTATCAAAAAATCATGATTCAACCCCCAACTGATGAAAATGAGTGATAAATTATCTGGCGAACTCTCTACTTCAGTGATTGATCTAGGTTTAGAAATTTCAACTAATACAAAGAGCATGAGTTAGAGTAAGTAGGCCAAATATTTACGCATCAATGCTAATGAAATAATCTCAAAAGAGTACAAATTACTTTGCTACTTATTTCTCAACAAGTATGCAATCCACGAAAATAGGTGGGATTTAAAGCAACATCCTGGAGAACGAATATGGAGCAACATGCCGTCCCTAAAAACAGTGAGACATTAGTGCATCATTCAAAAGAAAATTTGATCACAGTAAATTCATCACGAAACTAAAAGTAGTGGATGACTATATTTATTCTTATTCAACTGCTGGTACTGGGTCTTTCTCTATTGCTTTCTCCTTTCCTTTAATAATTATTTAGATGGAAATAAGCCTAGTATATAGTGATTTCCATGTACATGGTGTGTAGAATTATCATGATGGTAGCTCCGATCTTAGAAGTTCTAGACTCAACTCAATCCACATTATCATGTACAATTATCATGTAGAATTATCATGTTTAGGGAAAACCTCCAGACTCAACTCAATCCACATTATCATGATGGTAGCTCCGATCTCATAACTTCATATACAAAACAAAAGTCAAGAGAAGATGTAGAAGTCTTGTTAAATGGAAATAGTTGTAGTATGCTTATATCAAAGTGAGCATAAAGATTGAAAACTTTTCAAGTCCACAACATTAATTCTCATAAATAATTCAAATTTCTCATTCAAACAGGCAAATCAAAAGTACATATGACAGGCATATAAATCTACTAAAATCTCGAATAAAACATAAAATCAAAGCAAAAGTTCAGATGGTATGCACATATATTAGAGTGTATAGACACTTTTATATAAAACATCGAGTTTTTCTGGGACGGCATCTATGATAATAAACATCGATAGACACTTGTGACTTACCCGTGAAGCTAAAATCAAAAACCAGCATACGTCAGGGAACGAGATGTTCACTACCAAGTCTGTTTTACTTATAAATTTTATGCAATCCAGATATTTGTGTTTAGTGTTTCACATAATTATTAAACAACTGAATAGAGCAAGAAAAGTCATATTACTATGTCATTGCTATCTTTTTCTATTATTCTAGGACATCAGGGGCAATGGTTCACATGAATGATTTGCACTCAAGAGGCAGATTTTAAATTCTAAAATAATTTGACAAAGATTGGTTAGGGCAAAATCGAATTTTAGGGCAAAATCGAATTTAGGGCAAAATTCGATTTTAGGCAAAAAATAGTTATGACAAATATGGAGAATGGACAATGTACTCATTGCTCACCTGGTGGAAGTCGCTGGTCGCTGGTGGTGGAGCTCGTTGGAGGCTGTGGTCGTTGGTGGTGGAGGCTGTGGTCGCTGGTGGTGGAGCTCGTTGGTCGCTGGTGGTGGAGGCTGTGGTCGCTGGTTGGAGCTCGTTGGAGGCTATGGCCGTTGGTTGGAGCTCGTCGGAGTGTTGTCCGACTGAGAGTGGTTGAGGCGGAGGAGAGTTAAGTGGGAGTAGTGTGATATTTGAAATTAATTTAAGTAGCCTAAGATATTTGAATAGCATGTGATATAATATTTGAAATAAATTTGAACGTTAAAATCGTCATTGTAAATGACGTTTTTTAAGTCGTTGTTCAAAATAACGTTTTTCTCCCCTTTATAAATTTTAATGTCTGTTACTACCATTTAAAAAAATCATGTGTAAAAACGTCATTTTGAACGACAATTTAAAAAATGTCATTATCAATGACGTTTTCAGGAAAAAAATTTAAAGTTTAAATCGTCATTTCAAATGACGTTTTAAAAAAAAACTGGATTTGAGAATTAAGTTTTGAGGGGCATGGGTTTGGTCAAAAGCTCAGAAGCAGCAGAACAGTCTGCTCTTGAAAGCGAAACCAGGAAAACACAGAAGTTTATGTTTTGCTCAACCAGTACAAGCAAGTGGTAGCAGATAGTTTGACAATGTCATCTTTTGTTTTATGATTTGTTGTCTTGTGTAAATTAGGATGCTTGAGCATGCAAGATGATATTAAAACAGGATAGCTTGTCTACGAGGGCGTTTATTTGTATCAAATGGCTTACTGTACAATCTTGTCAACATGAAATTTTGAGACTATTTTTTGCTGAGAGCACTATTTGTTATTTCATCAAAGGTCATGTTAAACATTTTCATGTAACTTGCATATTAGTCAATGCGATTTAGGAATTGGATATTATTATTACGAGGCTGACACCGTGAAGCAACACTTGCAAACTTGCAATGCTGGTGGTGGTCTCTATTTTGAAAAGATTGTTCATTCAATTTTTTTACTCAAAAGAAACATGTTCGACTTTCAAAATGGGCATTTTGGGCGGGTCGCAATAAGTCGTTGATTGAAGGTTTAGACCAATCGCAATTCATCACCATCTTGTCCGCTTCCAATTGATGATTGGCTATTATATACGCGTTGACCTAAGTCCGTGTGCTGGGGCTCATCTCCTGAACCGTACATGAGCGGTTTTGTACGGCTTTTCCTAAAAATTTGAAGTATACATTGAAAAATATGTCACTTAAGTAGTTTGTCATTAGTGGTCATGCAAAGAAAATAATATTTTTGAACGAAAAAAAGAGTTTGAGATGCGTTTGATACTATTAGATCAAAATAATAAACACTAGATTAATCTTAAGTGTTTGTTGAACTTTTATAAGTGGAGAATTCAATTTTTTAACTTAATATTAGCAATAATACTATTTAGACCTAATTTATTAATATAATCTATCATAATATTTAGATTGGTAACATAGATTAGTGTGACGACCCATATATATATAATAATTTTTTTTATGAACGAATGAACCGCAAATATAGACTCTTCACTCGAAAAAGAGTCAAATAACTATAATTTAGGTCAAATTTCGTAATCATATAATGAATGAATATATCTATAAATATATATCTATATACTACTTTAAAATACTAGAATACTTGAAAAACATTTTTTTTTATCTTTACCCTTCAAAAATATAATTATTTCATCCATGTCCTTCATATTTATTGTGTTTAAGCCCTAATTAGATTTATTCCCTAATCCCTTTGTGTCCTACCTTTCTCTCAATCTCTCATTTTCCAGTCGTTACTCTCTTGCTCTTTATACTAAATGACTATCATCCGTCTCTCTGTTAATATCTCCTCCTCTCTCACCCTTAACAAAATGCCCAATATCATAATCCTTTTCTCTGCCTTTCTCCCTCTCTCTGTTTTTTCCAGCCCTTAATCTCTCTCTCTCAATAAAATCCGAGAGCTATCACCTTGATTACTACCAACCTTTTCATCTTTCCCGATAGAAGTGACTACTCCTAAATTATTCGGTGTTTTGGGGGATTGGTGAGGATATCAGAACTTTGAGAGTGAACCTTTTTCTTGTTTGAGTTCCGGATAATTCTAAAAATATATGCAAGTCATATTGGTCTTAGTTTCCTGCTTGAAATTAATTAGACTTCTTTGATTGCTTTGAAGAGCCTATAAATAAGGTTGATCATTTCTTTCCCAACAAATTCATCTTTTCTTCATGTTTTTCTACCAAGAATGACCTAGAAGCAGAGGAAGCCATGTGGCCCATGATGAAAAAATCTTATTACGACACAAGAACGCTATAGCACAAACTCCTGCACCTCTTGTTTATTATTGCTTCATTGAGGTATTCTTAACATATATGGAGATTTTTAATTGATTATATTATATGTACTATATTGATTAAATAGATGTTTTATATGTGTGGGTTTCTCCATGAAGATATTCGGAAAAATCTTGTCTGCATAACCCAATAACACATCCTTTAAAAATTTGGTCTACTTAGAAAGTCATGTTTGAGGTGCAAGATACAAGATCCTTACGGAAGGATTTTTAGGACTAGCACTGATACCAAACAAACAGGCTGATTAAGAATCGTTGTTTTCTAAAAATAATCAAAACAAAAAAGAAGTGACGACCCTGAGGTTTTCTTTTAGCATTAGCTACCTTAATCACGTAATTGATTCATGTTAATTTTGATAGGCTAATTTATTTTCAAATGGACAATTCTACCATACTAAACCTAATATTAGGATGTGTTGCACTAACCTAATGCAAAACCAACTTGGGGCAGCTTACCTCAAAAAGAACAATCATGGAAACAATGTAGACATAACAATTAACGGAAATGGCTCATAATTTTTCATTTTTTGGTACTAGGCTATATCCTCATACTTTAAGATTATGGAAATTTTAAAAAGAAGGTAAAAACAATCTTTTTCTAATGAGACATGATGTTGCCATTGGTCTATCCAATTAATCTTGAAAGTTTAAATCATAAATTTCGTACTACAACACTGTCAACATTTCACAAAATAGACATATGTAGATACACAAATTGATGATAAATAATTTAAAAGCTCACTATCATCACATAACTTGTAAACCATAAGTAAAAGATCAAATTATGATAAATAGATACTCGTACTCATTATGTTGCTGCTTGAATTTTATATTTGTCCTATACACAATTTCTTTGTGCTTTTGCATTTTCTTTATATGCTATAACATGGCCCTTTTTCTTTTTGATTGTACGTTTATGTGACATTCCTATATGGGGTGTTTATACAGAAGCAGAATAAATACTAGGTATTGTGTTTTGCCAATATAGTTTATGAAATCTGAATTTCTGAAATTACATGATAGTATATTCTTGAATTTCACATAAATTCTTATGAAGATTTAAAAAAATTATACTACTTTAGAATTGACTTAATTACATACATTTAAAACTTTTCTAAGTTAGATACAATTAAGCTATCTTTATATATCTCTTTGACGGTGAATGGAAAATCTTCGGAGCTATCTTCCTAGATGATGCTAATCATTACAAGAAGTAATTGTATTTGAAACCATTTTCATGGCATATTTGCTACCTCACTGGGCTTTTTCCCTATAAATTGGTGTATCTCTAAATGTATGTAATGCGTTTGTTTTTTTAACTCAATTGAATATTTTAGTTTGGTTTGCAAAATATATTATCTCTGAGATAATAACAAACTGTAATTGCAATCCTTATGCATAAATTACTTCAAATTTTTGCAGCTAAGTGAAATAATGCATTTATATCCTTGCTTCTGCTTTTTTGGTTCCTCCTCCATGTTATCCCCACTATATGGTCCCTTGTTCATAACATATTAATTGTTCTTCTCTAATTCAAGTATGAGGAGTTATAAGGTCTTAACAAGCAAAAAACGATAGATAAGTATGCAAAAGAACAAGTACATGAGCTGCGGTACAATTATAATATATCACAACCAAATGGCGAGAGTTTGTAAATATATGAACTTTTACTTTAAAGAACAAGCAAATAAGGTGGTATGTCTACTTTTTTTTTATTATATTTATTGTTCCTTGAGCTTGGAACGGTAAATTGAAACCCAACTTATTATCCACAAAGGAAGCAATGATTATTGCCCATGGAAATTCACAAAAGTTTTTCTTTATGTATCTTGACAAGCTAACTTACCAAGAGCTGATACATAATCTTATTGGGTTGTGCACCTGCTTTGTGGAACTTTAATTTGATTCTAGCAAATAAGTTTCATTTTTTTCATTAGGTTATTAGCGTAAAACTATCAACTGGGATACTTGTTTTTACATGTTCATGGAAGGAATGTTTATCGGGACAGGAAGTCCTATGGGATGGGGGTTTATGCTTATACTAAGGTTTATACTTTATCATATCATATTCGAGCATAATTTGAACCATTATGTTTGGTTTTTTTATAGTTACCTTTGTGCTTGGCAGATCAAATGGTATCTATGTGCTTAATGCACTTGTGATTGTTTGTAACATTAGTAGTACATTTGTTTTTGTGAGGAACAGAGAAAAGGAAAAACATGTGGAATGTATAACCCAAATTTTTTTGGGGGGATTGGATGATTTCCAAATGCAAAAGTCCATTTATTTTTTGTAATCAATTGATGAAAAGAGTTCTTTTGTTATTCTTCATAGGGCCCTACAGGGTTTCCGATCATTAACTGCCAAATTAGCTTTTTGTATACAATGCGAATAATTATTAAGAATAATAGATTATGCTTTTTTTGTATCTTTTGACAAATTAGAGTTACTCCTTTTCTAGGTAAAATTGACAAATTGGTGGCACGTTTTAATCTAGACTCTTTTCTCATCTTATTGATTTTATTTATGACATGCATGTTGAGTATTGACCTCTGAAGGGTTGTGAAAATTCGACTGACCTCAATAATATTTGTTCAGGCTTCCCACTGGAGAATCAAATAGAAGAGTTAGGCCAAGTAGACTATTAGTTTACACTATAAATGAATCCCTTTTGAACGAAATTTAACTATTTATGAAAATAGTTAGTGCTCATATGCATCTGAACTTTGCTGGCATATGTCTCTCCTAGCCAAATGAAACAAATAAAACAAAAGAACCTATCGAAACTTGCTTCAATCCATGTGATATAGCATTC